ATCCTTGCTGAATAAAAGTATTAAAGGGAGGGTTCACCCAAAAATGAAAATTGTCATCATTTACTCGCTCTCAAGTTGTTTCAAACCTGTATGAATACAAAACTGTTGAACACACAAAAAAATATATTTTGAAGAATGTTGGTAACCAGATAGTTAACGGTAGACATTGACTTCGATAGTTTATTTTTTTTATATATACTATGGAAGCCAGTGGCTACCTTCAAATGTTTGGTTACAAACATTCTTTTGTGTTCAGCAGAAGAAAGAAACTCAAACCATTTTGGAAAGAGTAGAGGGTGAGTAAATGACAATTTTCATTTTTGGGTGAACTATTAATTTAAATCTTTAAAATCTTATTGACCCTCATGTGAGCAGACATTAAGTTCACATGGCTAGTTGAATATTTTACACATACTAACTCTCCTGTTACTGGACTCTTTCATTGGAGGAATAAATTAAGCATGGATTACACTAATTAGGGCATTTCTACAATGCAATTGGTAATTGAAAACCTTTGCTTTTGCATGGTGCATTCAAACCAACAAGCGAAGACCACAAGTCCCCTTCAGATTTTGCACAGCCTGTGTTGCCACCAAATATATCAAATAGACTTGGTATGTGTTGTCTAATTCTGAAAGACATTGTTTCTGGATTGGTATATTTGGCTTTCCAGACTGCTGTCCTTTCTGGTATTGTTGTTATTCATGCTCTGATCTAAGGCCTGTTCAAGAGAGTTGTGTCTCTCTCTCTCTCCTCAAACAGCATGCCAGTGCCAGATTGAGGGCTCAAGGTTAATCTGCATTTCTTTTAACCAGTAATATCGTAGACTCTGGCTGCCCCTGCTTTGGATTATGGGACAGAGCTTAACCCGGTCTGGGAATGTGCATCACCTGTTTCCCCTGAGATAAAGCGTTCCATTCTGGTGTGTAACTTTACCCGCTTTTGTTCTTCAAATGACAGTCTATCAGGGATTTTTCAGGGGACTAGTGCTGAATACAGTTGCAGGCAGCAAATGGATGGATATAGCCGAGGGCTTGGAGTGAAAAGTGCCGTCACATGGGAAAATTAAACACTGGTGGTCACAGTAGCTCTCTGTCACATGTTTGCTGCACGCTAGTTTTTCACTGACGTGCAATAATTGAGACGTTAAACATATATCTGCTCTCATCAGCTATTGGTGTGTGTGCACTGTGCATGCTGGGTGATATGTTGGAATCCTTGTTATCAGATTGAACTCTTATCCACCACCGTTACAAGAAAACATCTTTGGACATCTGTTTACTACAAGCCCATATGTGTATGCTTGCAGTGACCTGTACATATGACAGGGTACTTGCATTCAACATTCTCTAAGCCACTGAAGCATTTTGGGCTTGTGTGAATTTATAAGGGGAATGTGTTGACAAGTGTTTATGTCTTCTAGGGATCAAAGATACTGAGTCCGTTCAAGATGATTTATGTGGCATCCAGTTTGCAAGAGTGTGTTAATATTACATAGTGTCTAAGCAAATTGAGCAGCCATAAACATTACAACAAATTATTGTTAAATATTAAATTAAATGTTTAATTATTAATTAACATCAATATTATCGATATCATCCATTTTATTGATGTTATCATTATTATTCTTAAAGTATTTTATTATTATTATTATTGTTATTTTTAATAGACCTTTTTATTATTGTTAACAACAGCAAAAATAATTTAATATTTGTTGAAAGTAATAATAATATTAGTAGTATTTTGACTTATACTAACAGTAGACAATTTAGAGGAAACGTTATTTGTGTTTGAATATTGTGATTTGTATGTAGTTGTCGCATTTTAAAGTGGTCATATGATGCAGTTTCAAGTTTTCCTTTCTTTTTGGAGTGTTACAAGCTGTTTGTGAATAGATGAGATCCCTAAAATTGCAATGGCAGTTCCAACTTTGCAAGGACAATCTGGCTCACAGCCTGTAAGTACGTTTTCATATTTAAAGAATTTGCCACTGATGATTCAAACGTGAGTTTTAGAGTAGCACTTGTTGTTTGTCGTTTCTCCAATCACAAATGCAGACATGGTTTTGTGTTTACGCGGCGCGATACGTAACACGTAAAAAGACAGTATAAGTCATTATAATCAGTAATTATGTCCCCACTGGATGCAACAAATGCCTCGTTTGGGTTTTATTGGTTTTGTCTCGTCACACTGGGACACGGCATCACAGTATGGTAAGGGGCGTAACATTTCCGTCACACGCTTGAGGTATTCAGCCAATCACAACGCACTGGATAGCTGGCCAATCACAGCACACCTCGCTTTTCAGAACGGTGAGCTTTGTAAAACTCGACACGTTTCAGAAAGGTGGGGCATAGAGGAGCAACCATAATGTACAGTGTGTGGAAAATAATGTGTTTTTTGAACCTTAAACCGCATAAACACATTTCATTACACCAAATACACAAAATAATATTATTTTTAGCAACGCCATATGACCCCTTTAATGTGATAGATGTATCTGACCTTTGTCCCCACCTTGACCTCACTCCTGGACATGAGCTATCCAGTTCAACCGTTCTCTGGCTCCATTCTTCTGGCTCTCGTTGGATAGTTAAATATAGTGATTAATTGCATCTGAGAATAGTATCCATCACTTTGGCAGGCTTTCATGTGGTTGCGTTCTTCATCTCAATTTTAGTGACTGTAGGTAACCCTTAAATCAGTGCTCTAACAACTTTTTTGTTTTTAGGCAGCATGTTCATTTTGTTTACCTTGTGTTTATGTTCAGAAGCATACCCCTCTGTTTTTGTAATCTGAGACTTGGGCCCATAGTGTCCTTGGTCATGCTATCGGGCAATCGGAAAGCCATCTAAAGCACTCTGTTCCAGTGTGCAAATATTATGGTGATGTTTCTGAATTTAGAATAAGTAGCTATAATAGTATATGTAGTAATTGTAGTTCAAAATGTTTGGGTTGGTACGATTGGTTAATGTTTTTGAAAAATTTCTTATGTTTGCAAAGCTACATTTATTTGATCACAAATACACTAAAACTGTAATATTGTGACATATTATTGCAATTAAAAATTACTGTTTTAAAGGGGTCATATGATGCGATTTCAAGTTTTCCTTTCTCTTTGGAGTGTTACAAGCTGTTCGTGAATAGATAAGATCCTTAAAGTTGCAAAGACTAAAGTCTCAAACCCAAAGAGATATTCTTTATAAAAGTTAAGACTGGTCCACGCCCCCCTAAAACGCCTCATTTAAACACGCCTACATCACGATGTGGGAAGATTTACATAACGCCGCCCAAATGTTCACGCAAAGAAAGGCGGCGTAACTTTATTGTTGCTGCCACCGCCGCCGCCATGTTATAAAGACGCTGTGTGTTTCGTTGTGAAAGCAAAACTACTTTGTTTGGCCTTACAAAAAAGGACACGACTAGCAATCAGTGGTTAAGTTGTATTTACAACACCGTTCCAGAACAGTTCAACCCAAATATTCAGATGTGTGCAGCGCATTTTATGGAGGACTGTTTCCTGATCCTGGTAGAGTAGCCTACAATGCCGGCTGTTCTGACTCAGTTTGTAAGTACGTTTTCATATTTAAAGGATTTGCCACTGACGATTCAAACGCGAGTTTTGAGCAGTGTAGAGTAGCGCTTGTTGTTTGTCATTTCTCCGATCACAGATGCAGACATGGTTTTATGTTTACGCAGCGCAATGCAATCCAACACATAAAAATACAATAATATAATGGGTTTTCATGTTTTTGTCTCGTCGCTCTGGCCAGACAGGGCATCACAGTATGGTAGGGGCGTAACATTTCCATCACATGCTTGAGGTATTCAGCCAATCACAACGCACTGGAAAGTTGGCCAATCAGAGCACACCTCGCTTTTCAGAACGATGAGCTTTGTAATAATCGACGCGTTTCAGAAAGGCGGGGCATAGAAGAGCAACAATAATGTACAGTATGTGGAAAATGTGTTTTTTTTGTTTGTTTTTTTTACTTTAAACTGCATAAACACATTTCATTACACCAAATACACAAAAATAATGTTCTTTTTATGACCCCTTTAATATATTTTAAAATGTAATTTATTCTTGTGATTGCAATGCAACATTTCCAGCAGCCATTACTCCAGTCTTCAGTGTCACATGATCCTTCAGAAATCATTCTAATATGCTGATTTGGTGAAACATCTCTTCATATTAATGTTGAAAACAGTTGTGCTGCTTAATATTTTTGTGTAAAGTGTGATTCTTTTTTTTCAGAGTTCTTTGAATAGAAATTTCAAAATAACAGCATTTATTTGAAATGGAAATATTTTATAATATTTATAAATGCCTTTACTGTGACCAATTAAGGCATTATTCTAGTAATTTCTTGGCTTGCTAGTAATTTCTTAAGTCTTAATGAGAGTAAGACTGAAATGATCTTGTTTGGTTCAAGTGATCACAGCATTCATGATGTTGATCTCGATACTCTGTTACATTACAGTAACACCTGTGTTCGGAATCTGGGGGTTTTGCTTGATAACAGTCTTAAATTTAATAAGAAGATATGTGCTGTGGTTAGGTCTTGTTTCTATCATCTTCGTCTTTTAGCAAAGGTTAAGCCCTTTTTATCTGGTAAGATTTTCGAAACTGTCATGCATGCATTTGTAACATCTCGACTAGACTATTGTAACTCTTTGTACATTGGTGCCTCTCAGACATGTGTGACACGCCTACAGTTAGTTCAAAATGCCGCAGCCCGGCTCCTCAAAGGGAAGCGTAAAAGTGATCATATCACACCGGTTCTGATTTCACTTCATTAGCTACCTGTCAAATGCAGAATTGATTTCAAAGTTTTGTTATTTGTTTTTAAGTCTTTGCGGAACCAGGCACCACAGTACCTATCTGAACTACTGCATCCTCCTTCTCAGTCTAGATCACTTAGATCTAGGGACTCTGATATACTATATGTCCCTAGAACCAGACTTAAAAATAGGGGTGATCGCGCATTTGCGGTCATAGGTCCTAAATTATGGAATAGTCTTCCAGCCTACATCAGATCCGCCCAAACTTTGTCAACTTTTAAATCCGCCTTGAAAACGTACCTTTTTTCCGTGGCTTTCAATATCCCTTGACTCGTATTGGCATTAATATATTTTGATTCTAGCTTTTCTCCTCTTATTTTATATGTATGTGTATTGATGTGTATGTATATGTATATATACTGTGTGTATATATATATATATATATATATATATATATATATTTGTTTTTGTTTT